TGTGCACTTGGAAAACAACCATTTTCTATAAAATATTAATGACCTTCAAAGAAATAAAAAGATAACCTGTCTGTAACTTTCTTCAGCTGTGAACTGTGTGACTATCTGGCCACCTCAAACAAATCCGAGTGCCATCAATTAAATCAATCAGCTTCATTCACTGTGTGGTCCCTGGGCAGCAACATCATTGTGACCTGGGAACTGGTTAGAAATGTAAATTTTCAAGCTCCAAACTTGACCTATTGTCTTAGTTAATTTGTGTTGCTATAAAGGAATACCTGAGGCTGGGTAATTTATAAAGAAAACAGGTTTATTTGGCTCATGGTTCTTCAGGCTGTACAAAAAACATGGCACCAGCATCTGCTTCTGGTGAGGGCCTCAGGCTGCTTCCACTCATGGGGAAAGGCAGGAGGAGCAGACCACATGGCAAGAGCAGGAATCAAGAGACAGAGGAGGAGGTGCCAGGCTCTTTTCAAGAACCAGTTCTCATGGGAACAGAGTGAGAACTCACTCCCTCAAGAATAGCACCAAGCTATTCAAAAAGGATTTAGATCCATGACCCATAAACCTCCCCTCAGGTCCCACCTCCAATACTGGGGACCAAATTTCAACATGAGACTTCATGGAGCCAACAAATCACGTCCAAACCACACCAGCTAACTCAGTCTGAAGATGGGAACTGCAGTCTGTGTTTTAACAAAGCTCTCCTGAGAATTCTGTGCTATGCTCAAGTTTGAGAACCACTTGCATCAACCATTCTGACTAACCAAATCCAGCACGATAGTGTTCAAGAAATGCTAGTTATTATTATTAGATAAGCCAGCTGTGACAAATTTGATGCCGCAACTAAGTAAAAACACTCCCGATTATATTCCTCACTACAGAATGTGTTGGTCATATTTTATAAATGGAGTCTGATCCCCAGTTGATACCTTGTCTGTTTGGAAATGAAGACGATCAAGAAACATAGGATGTGGTAATCCAGATGCTGAAGTCAAGTTTATGATTGCAATTAAATTGATATGTGAGATTCATTGATGAGGTTTGGAAATCAAATCCCCCAAATTTATAAATATTTCATGATCAATTATGCAACACAGCTGCAGTTACCAAGTAGTAAACCTCATAAGAAAAGTTGTAGTTGCACGATGTTTTCAGAATTACATTTGTCTAATTTAAGCTATACAGCAAAGAGTGTGTATGTGTGTCTGCATATGTGCCCATGATAGTGTGATAGTGAGGTTGGCCTTCATTGATGAAATACTAGTATTTATTTATAATGACATTTCTTGCAATTTTGCCTTCTTTTTCTTTGTTCATTAACGTCTATTCAGATTTTTAAATTTTGCTTTGAACTCTCTGGTGATTTAAGTGCTGGAGCCTGTGGTTCTTAAACAGAAAAGTGCAGACTGTATGCTCAGACTGAGTCACAGATATATAATGACCTCGGAAAAATCTTAAATTATGTTGTACAGAGCCTGAGGTTTTGATTGTAAGACAACTGTCCCACCCTTTGAATGTCTAGCCTCATTAATATAATGTGATAATCCATTTTTCTCTTATGAGTGCTACATGACATATATTTACTTGTCCTAATTAAATTGAGTTAAAAATAATCTCTAAGAATGTGGTGGCATGCCTGGAGCTTTCCTAGAGATCAGCGAAGTCAGATCTGGAAATCACTTTTCTGAGAATATTACAACTTGACCAGGACACTGCAACCTCGTTTCCATCTTTATTCTCAAAACCTTGGAGGAAATCCTCAACTAACAAATGGATTTTTTTTTTTTGTATTTTTTTTTATTGCACTTTAGGTTTTGGGGTACATGTGCAAAACATGCAGGATTGTTGCATAGGTACATACATGGCTATGTGGTTTGCTGCCTCCATCCCCTGTCACCTATATCTGGCATTTCTGCCCCTGTTACCCCTCCCCAACCTTATTACCCCCCTGCTGTCCATACAAATGGATTTTTATGAATGAGTTCAGTTCTCTGTTTTGCTGTCCCTTAAAGATTCATGCCTACTCACCTTGGAGTTTCATACCGTCTGCAGAATCCAGTCGTCATTCATTTAACAAATATTTCCGCTAACTTACTTCAATTATTTTTCTATTTTATTTTATTTCCCAAGCCCATCCACTTTCTTTTATAAGCAGTCAATCTGATGTGTATAATGTACATCTTTGTGTTTGTGCTTTTGCAAAATGTATATTGCTATCTGCATGCATATATTTTTTATTTTTTAAATGGCATTGTGTTAGATATCTAATTTCTTTCATACCTCTTACACTCTGCAACAACTATATTGCCATGTATGGAATCCATCATTTCTAATTATTTTATAATTATTACAAACTCTTTTGCTCACTGTTAGGTATAAAGGGTTGAAGAAGGAAATTCATGATTTCTGTTTCCACAGAGCTCACATACTAGTTTACAAAAAGCATTTTAAAAACGCCACATATAGTGTGATGAGTGCCGTATATACTGATAAATATATAAATATATATATTTATATAAACATATATGAACATATATATTTATATAAACATATATAAACATATATATTTATATAAACATATATTTATATAATTGATTTATATCAAATATAAATAAATATGTTGAAAATATATCAAAATATATTTTGATATATTTTCAAAAATATCTATCAAATTCTTTCTCTGTGTTAAATTTGATGTTAAGCACTAGGGATAAAATAGAGAACAAGGTAGTAGTGATAACTGCCCTCAGGAAGCTTACATTCTAGAAGATTATCCAAGCCTTGTAGATCATGGAAGGGATTTAAGTTCAGTGGCAAATAACGAAATGGTTTTATGCAACAGAGCATGATAAAGAAATTTGTATCTTTATTCTGGTTGACGTAGGAATAATGGGTTAAACAGAAGCAAGACCAGACTCAAGAAACAACTTAGTTGCAGCAGAACAACTGAGAAACTATAGTGGCTTCAACAGGGTGGGTGGCACTGGAACATAAAAGAAGGAAGAGAATGATGTGATATATTTTGAAAATGGAACAGATAGAAGTTGATGTTAGATTAATTATGAGGGGTAAAGAGGAATCAGTTCATGTCCCTGAGTTTCTAGTCTGGAAACGGAGATGGAGAAGACTGAGCGTGGATCAGGTATGGGGAGAAACGCGAAGTCCTGTTTGGGTCATGATGTCTATGTGGCATCTAAATGGAGGTGTCAAACAGGCAATCGAGCGTATGGAGCTGATTCTCAGAAAAGGGCTACGGACTGAAGATGCAGATTCAGGAGTCATCACACATGGATGGTCTTTAAAATCATAGGAATGAATAAGAATGTAGAGAAAAGCAAACGGGGCCCATTGCAGATCCCAAATGTTTGGAGACCAGATGGAAGAGAAGGAGTCAGCAGGGAAATTGTAAGCAAGTGCTCAGGAAGGATCTACTGTGTTTGGGTCATTTAGGTATCTTTGGTTAGCACCTTTAGCCAAAGCTGATTGTATGGAAAGATTTAAAAAGGAGGCCTATATGGAATGGTGTAAATCAGGAAGTAGAGATGGTGCTTGCAGACAAATCTTTAGCAACTATGGGCTAAAGCGGACAAAATAAGGCAGGGTGATATCTGAAGGGAAATTTTGGCTTAAGAAATTTTTTTTAAGTAGGTGAGACTTGAGCATGATTAAAGCATGATACAAAGGTGCATAGATAGTGGAAGTTTCCTGAAAGGCAGGAGGAGATAAAAATCCAAGCTCAGGGGCAGGGTCCAGCTCCTAGTGAGAGGAGGGGCAGCTGTGGGTTGATAACACCCACTCCATGCCTTTCTCTGAATACCTTTTCACCGGCAAAATGAGATAAGAGGAGGAGCTAGTTTGAGAGTTCTGTTGAGATGGGTTTCACAATGAGCAGAAGGCAAAGGACCTACACTTTAAAAAGTAATTTGTTCAAAGGTCACTGTCAAAAACACTAGGCCTCAAAACAAGAAGACATCTATAGAGTTTAGCAGATAATCAGATTTGATATTGTCGCAGGGCAAATTTGGGTTGAGAGAAGGCTGTCTGGTGGAAGAAAATTACTCCCTTCTGTCTGGGAAGAGACTACAACAGGATTTGACAGAATCCCAGAAAAATTGGGCAGTCTTTCATTATATTTATCAAAAAGCTGAAAGCTCCCTGCTTTTTCATCTTAAGCAGGCATATGGAGCAGAAGACAGATTCTCCAGGATAAATAAAATTCAGGAATATCCAAAGGAAAGGGGAGTGATTAACCGAATGGGGAGTGACCAGAAGACACACTAAGGCCTTTTAGCATTTCATTGGTTCCTGGCCTGGGGCCAACATTCTTGAGACCTTAGCTTTGAGTCTGCACAGTCCTATGATGAATCCTCTGCTTAAACCTCAGAAACAACCACACACAAATTAAATAGTATTTAATAACAGCTAAAGGATAGGTGTAAATAGATCTAAAAATTATTTCTTTAAATCTTAGGCTAAAGGGTACAGCGTTTAATTTCCTTAATCATAGTATCCTCACAAATTAATGCTAGCGTTTTGACTCTTTCTGAGTCAACTTCTTATACACAGCAAACCAAATCACATCTTAAGTTTTAGAAATATTGGTGATTGAGTCACAAAGGTGACTCAAGAGGCCAATATTGACTTTGGGGCAGCAACATTATAGCCAGAGTAGCTGAGAGGAGATAAACTATCTTTGAAGTGTCTGATTCTCAAACCCAAGCTTATAATATGATATCAGAGGTAGTAAATAGAAGGGCAGCATATTTTTGTTACAAAGAATACTAACTTGGGACCCGGTCTCTTAGTGCTATCCTGCTGTTTACATGGAGGTATGATGATTTTGGGCAAGTTGCTAAACTCCTCAGTTTCTTCATCTGTAAGTATCCACTAGGTACTCAGGAATTTTTAAGATCTCTCCCAGCTTTAAAATCCCTTACTTTGATGTATTAATCAGGATTCATTCAGCTCTAAGTGACAGAAAGAGACCTCAAACTGACTTCAGTTAAGAGGGGAGATTTATTGTTTCACATAACTGCAAAGCTACTGGCAGCCTGCATAGCACCTTCTGAGAATAGAAAAAAGGGCTCCTGAGTGAGCATTTGGCTTGGCAAGCAATGGGAACCTTTAATGAAAAATAAAACAAAACAAAATGAAACAAACAAATAACAAAACAAAACAATAAACAAGTCTCTTTCTCTGAATAGACACACCCTTCCTCCCAGATGCACACAACAGATTTCAGCAGCCACTTACCCCTTTGGCTGGGAATGCTTTGCAGTTCACAATTGGCTCAACTCTACATAGTGGCCCTGAATCCCAGGGTAGTCTGGCATCATTGCCAGCTGGATCAAGGGACTCAAACACTGTCACCAGGACTTACTCTTTCCTCTTGGCTCTGCTTTGTTTGTTTTTGGATCTACCCCCTGCCCCGAGTGTGTGTGAGAGAGAGATAAATTGAGGAAGAGAGAGGGAGAAAGAAAGACCCGTGACCAACCTGGGTCACAGGTTGAATTCTTAAATTTGAGGGTGGGACTGGAGTCCTGTCAAACCACATGGATTGAGAGAGCGGAAGACCTCAAGGTGCAGTTCCTAGAGAAAGGGGATGGACGCTGAGCTGGGAAAGATAATCCATGTCCTTTTATGTAATTCTATGGTTTTCAATCAGCTTACCAAGTAGTCTTAGATGATCTGAGGCATTCCCCTCCAAAGTTTTTACATTGCCAAAAACCTTGACATTGTATAATCAATGCTGAAAATGCAGTATATTTGCACATTGCTGGTGGCATTATTAATTGGCACGAAGCTTTGGAACTCTATTGAATAATTTTGATCAATAGTCATAAAATCTGCTTGTATCATGTGGTTTAGTAATACCCCGAAGAATTTATTTTAAGGAAATAACTCAAATTTTAAAATTCATGTATGTGAAAATGTTTATTCAACATTATCTATAATAAAAAGTTGGAAATGGCCTAGATGTCAACCACACGGGAATAGATAAGTCAATTAAAACTGAATAAAATGTTGAGTAACCATTAAAATGGCAATTATAAAGGTTTTATGCTGTGAAAAAAGATATGTACAAAATTATATAAACCATTTGATGACTGCCAAAAAAAAAAAAACAAAACGGTAAGCGTATAGATAGCCTAGAAAGGAATGCCTAAAAATGGAAATCATGGTTGTGTTTCCAGTGGAGGTGTAATGAGGAAATTGTCTTGTCTTTAAATTTGTGACAGTGTTAGTATAATATTATCTTATAATGAATAAAGTTAATTGAACTTCAATAAGAGTTCAATAAATATTTTATTAAACAAAACTAAATAAACACACCCCTGTGTTCTGTGGTGAGAAGATTTATTTTTAGGGACCTTGACCTGAAGACAGGTCTTTTTGAAAAATGTTGCTGGAAGGCTCAGAATGTATATGTCTGCCACAGGCCTTGATTAATATTGCTCAAAGGAAGATAAAGGAAAAAAGGGCGATTATGGGGGAAGAGGGAAGAGAAAGTTGACTTTAAGAAGTTAATGTTCTAATCACATGAGTCATACATAAATACATTCTCATTCTAAAACATTAAAATGTTACATCTAACATTTCAGCTAAGGCTGAAGTCCTCTTTGACACCTGTCGTAATCTGCTCAGGCTGCCATAACAGTACATTACAGTATACTACAGACTGTGTGGCTTAGACAACAGAAATTTATTTTCTCACAGCTCTGGAGGCTGGGAATTCCAAGATCAAGTTCTCACAGCGTTTGGTTTCTGGTAAGGGCTCTCTTCCTGGCTTGCAGATGAATGCCTTCTTGCCTTCTCACTGTATCTTCATATGGACTTTGTTCCCTGCTGTGCAAGAAAAGAGAAAGAAAAAGAAAGGGATTGAGGGAGAAGAGAGAGTTCTCTGGTGTCTCTCTTTTTTGTTGTTTTAAGATGAATTTTCACTCTGTAACCTAGAGTGCATGGTGCAATCTTGGTTTACTGCAACCTCCACCTCCTGGGTTCAAGCGATTCTCCTGCCTCAGCTTCTGGAGTAGCTGGGATTACAGGCTCATGCCACCACGCCTGACTAATTTTTGTATTTTTAGTAGAGACAGGGTTTTGCCATGTTGGCCAGGCTGGTCTCAAATTCCTGACCTCAAGTAATCTGCCTGCCTCAGCCTCCCAAAATGCTGGGATTACAGGCATGAGCCACCATGCCTGGCTGTGTCTCTTCTTATAAGGACAATAATCCCATCGATTCAGGAACCCATCCTGCCCCTTCTGACCTCATCTAATCCTAATCATTTCCTTATTCCAAATTCAGCCACACTGGGGGTTAGGGCTTCAACATATGAATTTTGAAGGTACACACATGTTCAGTCCATATCAATGCCCTCCTGTACCTAGATGCTTCTTCCCCAATTCTGATCCCCATAATCAATTTCCAAGTACAAGCATGTATTCAGATTTTTTTCTCAAAAAGAAAATAAAATGTACCCTTAGATTTATAAAGTTATTTTTATTATGTGCATTTGAAAACTCTTCCTGTGCACAGGCATTTTTAACTTGTTTTTTGTAAAATATGTCTTGGTGAATTTTCATAGTAGTTATGGGTACTGGAGCTGCATAATATTCTGATATATAATTACCAGATCCTATTAACTATTGTATTTTTTCTGATTGACATATAATTTGTACACATTTATGGGGTACAATGTGCTGTTTTCATACATGTATACGTTGTATAATGATAAAATCAGGGTAATTAGCATATCTATCACCTTTCACATTTATCATTTGTGATGAGAACATTAAAAAGCCTATCTTCAAGTATTTTGAAATATACAATCCATTATTGTTAACTCTAGTCTCTAGTATAAAATAGAACACAGAACTTATTTCGCCTATCTAACTGTAGCCTTGTAACCATTGACTAATCTCTGCCCAGTCTATTAACTGTTTTAAGTAACTATCACCATATTGATAGGCATTTAATTAATTTCTTTTTTTTCAATCAACAATTCTGCAATGAGAATCTTTATACATGCCTTTTTGTATACAAAGGTGAATATTTCTCAAAGATGACTTGCTGGATCACAGAATATGCACATCATCCAATTTGTTTGTTTGTTTGCTTGAGATGGAGTCTTGCTCTGTCACCGAGACTGGAGTGCAATGGCACTTTCTTGGCTCACTGCAACCTCTGCCTATGGGGTTTAAGCAATTCTCCGGCCTTAGATTCCTGAGTAGCTGGAATTACAAGAATCTATCACCACGCCCAGCTAATTTTTGTATTTTTTTTAGTAGAGATGGGGTTTCATCATGTTGGTCAGGCTGGTCTCGAACTTCTGACCTTGTGATCTGCCCATCTTGGCCTCCCAAAGTGCTGGGATTATAGGCCTGAGCCACCATGTCTGGCCCATTATCAATTTTAATAGATACTGTCCAATTGTCCTCTCAGGTGGCTATACCAGTTCATATTCTCACTAGTAATTTATGAGGTTGCTTGAACATTTGGTACTGTCAACATATATTTGTCAACATTTGGTATTAATATCTTCGTCAATCTGATGAGTACCAGAAAATATTATCTTACTACTTAAATTTGTATTCTCCTGATTGATGTTGAAGTTGAACATCTGGGACATATATCGACCAATTTCATTTCTTCCTAAGTATTACCCCTTTATGTGTTTTTCCCACTTTTACCTATCAAATTGTTTATCAATATCTTATTAAATTTGTATAACTCCCTTATATATTCTATATGCTAATCCTTTATCTGTAAATTAGGTTGCAAATATTTTCTCTTCATCTACCTTCTTTTTTTTTCTTTTCTTACATTATTTATGGTATATTTTGTCTTGGAAAGTTTTTATTTTGAAAATAGTCACAATTTTTAATTTTTTCCTTTACAGGTTTTGCTTTTAGTGCCTTAAAAAGGCATTTTCTCCCCCAAGATCATAATTGTGTTATCTCATATACTCATTTAACCCTCATATTTTTAACCCTGATATTTTGTTTTTGTTTTTCTTTTACTTTTAGATATTTAATCCATCTGAAATTTATTGCCAAAAGTGGTGTGAGATAGGAGTTAAGTTTACTATTTTTCAAGTGGATAGTCAGTTATCCCAGTGCAGGGAGTTGACTTTTTTCATTGTTGTTAGAAGCTCATATTCTAAGAAGAGAAAACATTTTGATATTTCACAGTTTCCGGAACCAGCTCAAGAGGAAAATCAGCTGGTGTACACAGCCATGCCCGTGTCTGGAAGAAATTGAGCACACACTTGAAAGCACAGAACCTACAGTACATTCATTCTTCATGCAACAGACATACGTTGTAAGTATAATTTTAGTACGGTTAGACATTAAGCCTAAATCAAGAGCTTTCTTCAACCTTGATCCCTCTCAAAAGCAAATAATCTTTTCCATAAATCACCAACCTCTGCTTTATCCCTTTCATAATTAAAATTTTCACGTAATTTGGTTTTTGTTTCAATGAGTACACATTTAAATGTAAACAATTTGCTGAACTTGTGTTAGAGAAAGATTCGCCATAACATTACACGCATTTTGAACCTACCTATATTTTGTTAAATTAGCAGTAACCTTATGCCTCAAAGACATTTTGGACTTCTGTGCATTTTTCCAAATGGCTGAAACAAGGAACCAACTGCATAGAAGATGTGTACCCTCTTTGCCTGACTATGCAGAGCAGTAGGTGGGTGGGTGCCAACTCTGCCTGGGTCATTTCACACCTGTAAAATTTTGGCCAAGTCTTCTTAATATTTGGTTGCCACATTTGCCTGTCTGTTTAATGGAAATCATAAAAGGCCTTACACATTAGAATCATTATTATGAAAACTAAATAGGATAATACTCCAAAGCTCTTAGAATAGTAGCCAGAAGGCCATTTTTTCAGTGTTTGGGGAAGATCGTAGCCCAGAAGGATGCTGCTTTGATAATGTTCTACTTTTGTCTTTTTAAAAACTTTGCATGCTTTCAGTTTATCTTTTTTCCATTATCACTACTTTTTTTGTGTGTAGTTTTTAAAAATAGAATCTTTGTCCCAAATTTGTTATCAAAGGAAGTTGGAAGATGTCTTTGCGGCAAGTACCTTAATCCCCACACACCAGTTCGATTCCAGGGAAATGTGAGCCTCAATTATGGGCTTTTTCACAGTCACCCTGGAAGGGTGACTCCAGACCTGAATTATGCCAATGCAGAGAACACTGGGACAATTGATGGGGAAATCACACATTCCCCCATAAAGCTTCAGGAGCATGCTTGCCATGTTTATTCACTAGGGTCTTTTTTGTACTCCAAACAATTTTTGCTTGGAGATTTCAGATCCATAATCTCAGAAGAAACAAGAAAAGGCTCAGGATTGTCTGGGCTTACCTGGATTTTCTAGGCCTCAAACCTTTGCTTTTTCACACACATGCTGCTTCCCCAAGAGCCAAACAATGTCTCAGCAGAGCCCCTCATTTTATAGAACTGGTCTCTATGCCCATGTAGAGGCTTCTCTGTGAACACCATCATGGGGGAGCAGGTTTCATGTTTTTGCATCTACGCTGACAATCGATAAAGATCTTGTTACTCAAAAATCTCCACAAAGTGCTTGGGATCCTTTTGCCTGCTATAGTAGGGGTGAACTAGAGGATGGAAAGATGAGTCAGTGAAGACACTGCGGGTATGGGAGGCCTTGTTCATTTTGGAGAAGTCCCAGAGAAGAAAAGATTATAAAAAGAAGATTTGGAAGGCAAGAGATGGGTAGGAGTCCCAGTTCGGGGACAAGAATCACACAGCTGTACAGAGAGTAAAACAGAGGAAAGAATTGCTGCCAGGAAGGGCCAATGTTGAGATAAGATTAATAAGGAGGGTCAGCTTGGTGGACATTGTGTCCAAATCTAGAAGAGAAGGCCTCTGAGGTAGGGCCAGACCGTTCATCCTTCCATTCCATGAAAAAAATAACAAGTGCTAAAACAGGCTTTACCTGTGCAAATATTAATATTTAATTTGTAAAATAAAAGTGCAATGCTTTGGGGTATGTATTTTATGTATGTTTTTTATATATTTTATATACACATAAATATGTTATATATAACATTTTAATGTTTATGGTATGTGTGAACATTTTGAAGAAAAGGTCAAAATAGATCATCCGAGAACTTTTCTGAACGTGAGATTCAAGCCACTAGCCCTGCTAGCCTCTCCTTTATGTAAGCCAGCCCAGGCAAGAGCGGGCCTGGGATACCACAGGACTGAGCTAAGCCTCAAAGGGAGGCTGTTAAGGTCTCAATGTTTGTGTTCACTCAAATTTCATATGTTGAAACCTTAATCTCCAATGTGACAGTATTAGGAGTAAGGAAGCTTACATGAGGTCATAGGGTGGGGCCTTGATTCTATGGGATTAGTGAGTACCCTTCTAAGAAGAAACACCAGAGAACTAACTCTGTCTCAATATTTGTCTCTCTCTCTGCTCTCATGCATCAAAGAGAAGCCATGTGAGGACATGGTGAGAAGCTGTTGTACTGTAAGCCAGCAGGAGAAAGAGACTTCGCCAGAAGACAAACTGGCCAGAACCTGGATCTTAGACTTCCAGTCTCCAGAATTTTGAGGAAATAAATTTCTGTTGTTTAAGCCATGAAGCCTGTGGTATTTTGTTTTAGCAGCTCCAGCTCACTAACATAGATCATAGATGCCTAGATGGAGGTGATGATATAAGGCTAGCTCTCCTATTCCTCGTGGTCTGTGGAAGTGAACATCTGAAATAACCAGCAAGTAGCGTCATCCAGCAAACTGGATTTTTTAAAAAAGTACCACAGGCTGTCTACTGTAACGTTAGAAAAATAAAGTACATTTTTTAAAACCACTACATTTGGGAGCATTTCTTGACAGAAAGCTGCTCATTTGCTTTTAACATTACCTAGTTTATAATACTTGCCTCAGTGGCCCTAATGTGATAGACATTAAATGTGGTAAAATGTGGTTATTCACTCAATCACTCAGCAAATATTGACTGCAGGTATAGGATTGTACCAGGTGCTATTCTAATTGCCGGCAATACTGTGGCTAATGAAAGAGCCTGCTTCTGCCCTGATGAAGCTTACCACTAAGTGGTAGGAGACAGTCATTAAACAAACAGGTAAATACATACAGGGTCAGATGGCAATAAGTGCTATGAGGAGAAGTAGAATAGGGTAAGGGGAGTAGGAAGAAGTATGGGGAGTTGTTATTTATATGGTCAGGGAGGCCTGGCTGAGACACTGACGTGGGAGCAAGGACCTGCAGGAGATGATGGAATGAGCCCTATGGATACCAGAGGAAATGGTTTTGCAGGAATAGGAAGAAACAAGAGTTTCTTGTTCTTGAGGTGGGAATGGGCAGGAGGCAGGGTGGCCAGAGTAGAGTGAGAGGTGGGGAGAAGTGGAAAAGCCAAGGCCAGAGCGCGGCAGAAGCCAGGTGGTATGGGCTTTGGCTTTTACACTGACTGTGACCAAAGAATGCACATGATTTTAATGATTGAGTTAAAGGATTATTCTGGCTGCTATTTGGGATTAGATTCAAGGGAAGTAAGTTCAGAAGCAGGGAAACCAGTTATAAAACTATTGCAAAAACCCCAGATGAAATGATGGTGGCTTGGACCAGTGAGACAATGGTGAAAAGGAGAAGTGATCAGACTCTGGATATATTTTGAAGGTAGGCCGACAGGATTTGCTGATGAATTGGATGTGACAAATGGGAAAAAGGGAGGAGTCAAGGACTGCTCAAGATGGTAAGGTCTGAGCAGCTGGAAGGAGGATGTTGTTACATGATCAGGAGAAGCAATGCTGATAAGTATCGCTGCATCTTGAGTCACCTTCATCAACAACGCGCTGAAAGGAACCTGAGAGTCTCAGGCGAGTTCTTGGTCCACAGTTAGCTAATTAATGCTGTCATATGCCATTTTTATTAAAGTTTATTTGGTGTGTTTTACAAGAAAAATAGCTAACCAGTTTACAATAAAATAAGTAACCTAAAAAGGTAATGTATTGACTAAGGAATTAAACAAAAAAAGGAAATCCCCAAAAGCAAGGGAATCTAGCAAAAAAAAAAAAAAAAAAAAAGTCAAACATTGGACTGTAATAACTTAAAAATGCAAATCTGCAATCTTGTTCAGAAAGTATTGAATAGAAGGGAACAGTAATAGCGAGGAGGAGAAAAGGGTTAGGGACCTTCAAAAGTTTGCTTCAACAGAAGGAAAGCCTTTAAAAGGTGACTGGGAGAAAGGAAATGACTCAATTGCTTTGAGGCATGCAAAGAAAGGGAGAGGAATTATGAGGAAATCAACTCGTATGTATTTATAAGAGTCTTAATAATATAATGAAATAACACAATACAGTAGTTCTTAAGAAAACAGGTGTGTAGGTTTTCGGTTCAAATGTTAAAATGTAACATTCTAGTTTATATTAATAAGTACTTGGTTATGAATAAAGATATATTTAAGAGGTTTCACAGAGAAACCGACATCAATTGTTCCGCTTATATTTAGTGAAGTACAAATCACGCACTGGTAACTAGTGGCTGAATCATCTGAAACTTTTGGAAAGGGCCGAATTATATATTATTTATTTTGAAATGTAACATTTAAACTCATTCCAGCCAAAAAAGTTATATCTGAAAACACTCAAATCTAACTAGTTTAGTCAGTATTTTACAGGACAGTTAACTACAGACTTGTTCCAGGCACAAAATCCAAAATTCAAGATCAAGTTAAGATATTGGGAAACCATCCTTATTTTTTATAATTATATGTACAGGGGAGTTTTCAGATGATAAATTTATATTCAACAAGGTAGTTTTTTATACTTCATTAAAACTGTACTTTCGATCCAAGCATATCATTTTTTAAGTACATTCATTGTTCACAATTATCCAGCCTAAGTTGAGATGTTTAAAACAGCTGTCTTCTGTTTTAAAGTTTCAATGTTAAAGAAAACAAAACACCCTTAGTTGTCTTCATTTCTCTGGTTATAAAATTACTCTTAAATACACATTCATTATAATAAACAGCCCAGAAAATGTCTTTCAGTTGATATCAGTACAGTTTTCTCACATAATCTAAAAACTAGAATTGGAACAAATTGAAGCATAATTTTATATTTAAGCACGTGCCAGAACAATCTTCTCTTCAAGTAGGGCTTCCACTACCTGGAAGCAAAGGCCTTGAAAGGCAGTTCTCAAAAAGAAGTATATTTTCATTTTCATCATTCTTTTGGCCAAATAGCAAATTCCAAAGTGGTATTTAATCAACCAGTTTATCTGGTTATGAAAAGTATAAATTACATTTAGGTAACTGCATTTTTAAACAATCTCACATCCCGATAGATATCTTTAAGTCTAAATATTAGTAGGTGGGGCAATTAAAAGAAGTTGTTTTGGAACAAAAAGAAGAAAACAGGGCCAAAGACAGTCTTTGTGTTACATAACTAGAGATTTCAACTCAATGTAAGAGCTTTTGTGGAGGAAAAAATGGAGCTCTGGTTTAATTAACATGTATTGTTCATTCATTACCTTATTTCTAATCTACCATTCTCTTAATTTCCCAAACAATAATTTGATATCAGAAGTGAATGGAGCCAAAGCTCCACTATGGTACAGTGGAATGGTTGTCACACACAGGGTGGGAGGCCCACCGTGAAGCTATTCATGGAGAGGCAGACAGTAAATCACTGTTAGCAACTCCAGCTTGCTGGTAGAGCTGGCCCTTGGAGATGATCTGACATTGTTCCCAGTGAATTCAAATTTCAGTTTATCTCCTTCCATGAGTCTTCTAGAGTTCTATTTATATTCCTATTGCATCTTATTTTCAAGCATCTTGTTTTTGTAATTGTTATATTTACTCATCACTTTCATCTATAAATCTTTTTCTCCCCATTCAAAAAGCAAATTAGACACTTTACAGTTGAAATTCTGTGTTGGGAGAAGCCTAGATTTTGTTCATCTTTGGAACTAGAATCTCAAAATCAGAAGAGCATATATATTTCTAGTGGTTTTTTTTCTGTTCCTTTTTAAATGATCCTTTCCATCTAAGGATCTATTATTTATCCTACTGAATCCTTGAAAAGGAACTCATCGCTTTCACTAACTCATGCCCTCCTTTATGTACCCTCACTCTTGGTTAAGTGCTAGGGATACAAGAGAAAATGACAGAGATGTAGTTCAAAGACTTGAGAAACTTGTGATTTAACAGAAAAGAGAAGCACTCAACAAATAATTGCACCCAATATTAATACTAGCTGTAATGTCTGATATGTACTATGAAGTAAATTCACAGGATACTTTGAGAATGCATAATGGGCAATACGACTTATCAGGGAAGTCTTGTTTGAGGCAGGGACATTGAAGGATGAGTAGGGGTTAGCCAGGTAAACAGGGAGAAGGGGAAATTCCAGTATTCCAGGCAGGAGCACGAGGGCAGGCCTGTAGTTAGAAAGAAGGAACATGGAGCTTTCCAGGAACTGAAATACCAGTAATGCTGCAAGAAAGCAAGACAGCGATGGGAGCATGGCAGAGACGAGAGCAGAGAGGTAGGCAAGAAACTAATCACGCACAGTGTTAAGGCTGTGTTAGGGCTTGGGGGTACCTATGGATGCCTCTGAAGTGTTTCAAGCAGGGCTTGACATGATCATATGTGTATCTTTCAAAGATAACTTAGGCTACAATCTGCAGAATGAATAACAGGACAAGAGAGAATAGAATTTAATGTTAATTTGGGAGTAAAAGAAACAAAAAATATTGCTATATATTGGTCACAGATACATATGGCATATGTAAAAGTACAGAAACAAGCTGTAAGGATGCACAGAAAACTTATAATAGCATTACTTATGAAAAAAAAGAAAATGAGAGTGAGAGTAAGAAAAGATATTGATGATAAGGAGGTTAAGCTTTATCCACCATGTTTTATTTCTTAAAGACAGTAAACAAAAATGACAAAATAATAACAGTTATTAATTCTGAGTAATGAAAATTGGGATGTTGGTTAAATTAGTCTTTGACAATCTTTCAATTTTCTCAAAAGAGAGACTACGTTAAACAAAAATGAGAGGAGAACCAAGAGACAGAGGTGTGTCATGGAAGCAAAGAGCAGAGAATATTTCAGAAGAAACAAGTTCATTGTTGCTGATAATTCAAATAAAATGAAAATGTTAAAATATCTACTGTAATTACTGTCACGACTGTCACTGAAGACTAGCAAAAGGGGACTGAGTTGATGAAAGAGCAGGAAGTGGCAACACTGGTTGTCAACAATCTCTGGGAATGTCTGGCTTTGGAAGAGAGGAGAGAAGAGAGTGGCTTGAAAGAAATGGGGTCCAAGGTGGGCTGTTTCTAAGATGGGAAAGACCGAAGCTTGCTTACATGCTGATGGGCAGGTGCAGGAGAGGGTCTAGAGAAAATAGGACAGAATTTCTGAGAATGTGTGAATTATTGGGAACATCAGGAGGGACTGGCCTCCTACTGGAGGAGGGACACTGCCTCGTTCATAAGAAGAGACACTTAGAAAATAATGAGTACGGAAGCAAAAACGTCCCCTTCTGATGGACTGTGTTTTTTTTCAGGGAAGTACGAGGCATGAAGGGTGAGACATCTGGCTAAGGGGAAAAAGTTAGTGGCTAACGGAAATAAGGCAGTGCTTTGGATGTGATTGAGGTTGATAATAACTTGCCTACATGATTTCCAGCAGGCTTCAGCTGCCCAGTTCAGGAGCAGAGACTGCTGATGTATACACAGTTCAGAACTAGCTTTTAGTCAGACAGATGTGGACCAAAAAACAGAGGAGCAAAGGAATTGAAAGTATTTGCAAGAGAGAGGGATTGACACTATGAAGCAATGCTAGACAGAGAGAGGAATGAAAGAAGGGAGAGAGTAGGCAGATTGAGAGAGAAGCAAAATCAACAATCTGGAGGTCCTCAAGAAATCAGAGTGAATGTAGAGGGGTGCATGAGCAAGGAGGGTTGAAGGAGAAGGGATTGGAAAGTGGGATGTCAGAATTAGTGATCTGGAAGATGGGGCCTTTTTGATAATAAGGTCCAGCATAAAGCCTGGAGTGGGTGGCAGAGGGGATCAGACAAAGACAGCATAGATGAGGAAGGCAAGAAATGGAAAAGCCGGTCAGTGGATATATGGATGTTAACACTACCATGAGTGATGACAGGTGGAGGGACAGATAGGAGGTCAATAAGTCTTTGAAGAATGGGTTAAAATGAGACCACAAATGTATGTGTAGAATATAGCCACCAAGGTCAGCCAGAGGTTTTTAGAGGAGAAATGGCCTGAATGCAGCATGGGGAGCAAGGAAATGGACCTCACTTTCTTAAGGAAGAGGAATAAAGGGGCAAGAAGGAGAAGAAACAGCCCCCAAAAGAAAAAGGCTGGGGAAAAGCAGTTGGTCTAGAACACAGCCAGGATTTATTGTGACCGTGGTTCTCATCCCTGGCTGCAAATGAGAATCATCTTTGGAGTTTTAAAACCTACCCATGTCTAGGTCCCAGTCCTTCCTGATGAATTAGAATCCTGAGCTTGGGGATTTGCATCACTGAAGAGCTCCCCTGGTCATCTAAAAGTGCAAGTGGATTTTAAAATCACTGACTTAAGGCAAAAAGGTGGAGGAAATTTTGGAGAAGGGGCTGAGGGTACAGATAGGTTTCTTGATTATAAATTATAATGGCCTGTATGTACAAACTGTGCTCCCTGAGTGTGTCCCCATGAACTTACACCCTCAAGGAATTGTGAGTAGCAGCAGCCCTTTCTTCTCCCAAGTTCATTACCCCGTTTTGTCTCAAAGCAGAGATTCTGATCAAACAGCTAGACGTGGTCTTCGCAGGGAACCTGAGTGAGTTTATCTTTCTGCTTTATTTTAATCTTCCTCCACACTTTTTTCCAGGTGATCTGAGGGAAGTGGGAGCTGCCACCAGGCATTTAAGAAGGGGAGGAGGAGTTATAACAGGTAGCTCCCAGCCCTGACTCACTCACTGACACAGGTCAAGCCACTTCTTTTCTCTGTGCCTCCATGTAACTCCTCTAAAATGGGATGGTAGAACTGATGTGGAGGATGGCAAGGATGACAACGTGCCACTTAATCTTTACAAAGCAGTGTGTGCTTTGGACTCCAGACTTACAAAGATCATCTAATGTAATCACAGGCTTCTTGGGGAGTGAGTAGAATAAGAATCCTCATTTACAGGTGAATCCCGCCCAAGGTCACTAGCTAAGTTACATTACCTGCAGATGGCCTCCAGAGACCAGGGCCTTAAACACTCCACTTTATGTCACTTTTTTAAAAAACAGCGAAAGCTCCTTCTAATCACTTTGTGATTCTTTAAGTCTTTGGCTTTCTTTCCCTGAAGGGACAGGATATGCATTGCAGACTTCAAAGACTTTGAAGGGGCAGTGGTTTTACTGAAAACTTACGGCAGGCTTCTGGAAGTGAGTCCGAGGCGCACATATGGGAAATGATGTCATGAGGTTCCATCGCCTGGCTTCCCCACAGGTGCTCCCCTGAGTGTTTCCGGAGCCCGACAATAGCTGGCTTTTTTTCCAGCTCCGGGAGCAGCTCTTCTGGCAGGTGGAAATGTAACACCACGTGGTCAGAAGGACGGCTCCTACTTGGATGGTGAGACTAGGATCTAGTAATTGCCAGGAAGATTCTGGGTGGTATTTCTTGACCGTGAAAAAGTAGACTCCAATTCTTTAACTCTCGTATTCTATACTTTTAAATTGGGTAATTTTAATCACTTGCTTCTTGGCTGAGCATTACTACAAATTAAACATGCAATATTAATATTGAAAATAATGTCCCTTTAAACAATGTCCTAAAACCCGATGTGGGGCATTTCCAATATATCCATAAAGCAAATAAAACAACTTAATTGTTTGTTTCTCTAAGGAAAGGAGCTAAACCCGGAATTAATTTGGTTCAACCTGTGAAACAATTCCTTTGCTCTGCCTAATTCTGCCAATTAAAGAACTTTTCCCAGACACAATTAGCATGTAAATCAGCGGTGGAGAGCAGAGAAGGAGCCTCGGCGACCGGGGTTGGGTGGAGCGCAGGACCGAAAACCGCGCGGGCCGTAGGGGCCGGACCATCTGGCTGCGGTACCGCGCCTGGGACGCACGGACGAGATGGGGACCAGCTGGCACTGACCGTGCGGTCGTCAGCCCAAATCTGGGCGTTAAATAGCGCAGCCAGGGATCGAGCCGTCTTGGCCGCCAGGTCCGTCTCCGAACCCCGTGGGATTCTAAGGAGACGTCCCGGAGCCGGCCCCCAACCAACCCGCAGGAACCCGCAATCCTACCCGCCGCCTCACACTCCCCAACCCCCTGCCCAGGCTGCCTCTAGGAGCGTCGGGGGCTGCGCGCGCACCTAGGGCCGCGCCCCCCGCTACCCCAGGTCTGTAGCTGCCTTTGCCCGGGAAAGGTGGAGTTAGCGGCCCCTGCTGACAGTTCTGGAGAACAGCAGAGGTACTGATTTTTTCTTCCTTTTCCTATCATTCTCCCCGCCTTTTCCAGGTGGTGGTAGTGGTGGGGGGAATGGGTGTTGACCCGTGTGCATTTATTCTTTGTGAAGACTTTTGAGCAGATGTCTGTACATGCAGAAGCGACAAAAAAAGGAACGTGGACTTGTTAGTGGCCCTAGTCCTAAGTAGGGAACAGGTACAGTTTCCAAAATAAAGAAACTCGGCCTAAGTGGGACTGAGATCCTGATCTCCGTACTTGCTTTTCTCAGCCGATTCCATGACTAGTAAATAGCTCTCCGTGAATTGCTGGGCCGTCCGGTGTTACTTTGCTTAAAGGCTGCGACTGTGGTCTGCACGTCTGCGAAGCTCCCTTGGGGAGCAATAGCTGCGGAGCGCAGTTGCTTTCGGGGCGCAGCGGCAGGGGGAGGGGAACGTGGTGGTGGTGCCCGACGAGTTGGCACAAGCCTGTAACTGCAAGACTTTGTAGCTATTGAAAGTTCAAGTGGTGAAAGAAGGCTGTGCCTGCCTTTCTTCTTGTGATCGTAACAATAGCGCCTTGGAAGTAGCTGCGATTTTCTTCTTCCATAAAGCTGTTGGGTTCCCATTGGAATTGTTTGCCTGTTATTTCTGAAGTTTACTTATTTCTAAGACCAGTCCACAGACTGTGAACTTTAAGAGCTTTTAAAATAGATCGCCGTCGTTAAAAACATCATTCTCTCCACTAGTTTGCTTACTTCACATGCTTTATTAACATGTGTTTGTGCGTAACTAATAGCTGTGTTCTTATCTTCCAAGTGTATTTTTAACCGCAGCGGCCTCTATCCAATTCATCTAGCTACGTAGAGCGTCCATCGCTTCTGGAATCTACCTCTTGATAACAGTAATCAGAATCAGAAAGGCTCGACGTTCACTTACCCTCATGCTTTAAAACTTTTCCATTTAGGAAAATCGATGAACAAACCTTTCTTGTAACTCGCTCCTGCACTACGTCTATTTTTATTTATTTTTCTGATTTGGCAGGACTCAGCAATGCTGTCCGGGATTTTTTTTTTTTTTTTTTTCTCTTAGCTAGAGCAGATGTGGGGGCGGGGGAGGTGAGGGTTGGGCTCCTGCCGGAGTCGCCCCCGCTGAGCCTCCGCCTAGCGCTTGGTGGGGCCAGGAATCCTGGTGGAAGGAAGCGGCGCTAGCCAGTAGGTCCAAGGCTCCACCTGCAGCCACACCGCGTAGTTTCTCCCTCTGCCTCACTCACTCGCACTCACACACACCACAGCTCTCCTTTGGGTCGGAGGAGACGCCAGCCAAAGTAGGCGGAGTTGAGGGAGGAGAGTCCGATCTGCGCAATCCAGTCCGGGATTTGGCTCTGCCCGGGAGCGGCGGCCTCTCCGGTGACAGAGGAGTAGTGAGCGGCTCCGGGTGAGGCTGCAGCCAACTCTGCTCCCCGCGCACTCGGCTGCCCAGGCGCTCGGGACGCAGCAGAGGCGCTCCTCCGCGGTGCCGGCCGCCCGCAATGCCCGCTTAGCAGCGTGTGGCCGCGGCCAGCATCACCACACCCGTGGCACCGCGCTCCCGGCCACAGAGCCGGGCCAGAGCTGTGCACCCCTGCCCCAGCCCCCACCCCGCCCCCCGCCCTGAAATGACTTCTTAATCGGCGCAGACACCACCAAGGGGACTCACCGGAGTGGAATCCAAGTGGAATTTGGATTTGGAGAAGAGTTTCTTGAACATTTACCCTCTTCCTTGTTGGTTTTCTTTTTCTTCTTCTTCTTTTTTTTTTTNTTTTGGCTTCTTTTTTCCTCGCCCCTTCTACGCTCGTCATTGAAGATGAACACATCGCGCTTGCATCCCAGAAAGTAGTCGCCGCGACTATTTCCCCCAAAGAGACAAGCACACATGTAGGAATGACAAAGGCTTGCGAAGGAGAGAGCGCAGCCCGCGGCCCGGAGAGATCCCCTCGATAATGGATTACTAAATGGGATACACGCTGTACCAGTCCGCTCCGAGCCCCGGCCGCCGGTCCGTCGATGCACCTAAAAGGTACGGCCCGGGCGCCCTGGCGCGCCCCACCTCCCGGGCAGCTGGACTCCAGCCTCAGGGTCCCAGGGCCGTGGCTAGCGGATACTGTCGGCTTTGTGGTGCTTGCGTTTTATTTTGTCTTGTGTCTCCGTTTCTCAAGCGTTGCCCGGTCCTGGGGGAGTAGGTCCTGGAGGAGTAGCCGTGAGCCCTGCCTGCTGTTCCTCTCCGCCCTGCGCCCTAAAGAACGCCGGGCTCCACGTCGAGAGCTTTCCCAGCCGCGTTGCGCACTCGCCCGGCGCCGCCCCGGGCCGCGACGGCGCGTATGGTTGTTCCTCCCGGGGGTGTGTGTGTGAGACCCAAGGCTCATCCTTTCGCGGGCCAAGCAGGGAGCAGAGCGGGCCCTAGAGAGTGGGATTCTCAGAAGCTCCCTGGCCCGATGTCGAAGGCAGGGGAAGGGGTTTTGCCCTCGAAGGCTGGAGGGGGTTGGGTAGAACAGCGCTGTTTTCGTCCTGTGCCAGGTGGGAGAAGGGGTTCCGCGGAGACGGTGTGAAAGCGGAGAGAATCTTTTGTTGTCAGTGTGGGGTCTGGGCTGGGCTCCGTGGAGTGCGAGAAACTTGTAATGGCCCTAGGCACCCGCGCGCCCTGTCTCTTGCTGAGATCCTGGCTCCTGTGGCCGCTGCCACCAGAGGTTCCGGGCTTTGTTTGCTCGAATAAGTGAGCCCAGGAGCAGCCGTTCGGGTGGCGCGGCGCCCCCGCCCTGGGTCCTGTCCCCCGCCGCAGCTCCCACCCCGTGCGGCGAGGATGCAGTCCGTCGCGGCTGCGTCCCCCTGAAGCACCGAGCCCCCTGCACCGGGGCTGGCGCACGCTGTGCCCTCCTCCCAGATCTGCGCGGTCTCGCTCTGGAAAGATGTCCCAGGAGGGGGAAGGGTGGGAGACCTGGCAAGAGATGGCCCTGGGTGTGAAATCCAGACAAGGGTTCTGTCCCGACTCTTCGCTGTGTCCTGGGGCACTGCCCAGGGAGCAGTGGGGCGCTGGAGAGTGAGCCGGGCAGTGCCCACCCACCCTGCCTGACCCTGCTGGAGAGGGAAGTGTCTCTTGTCCCGATTCTCCGCGTTTTTCTCAGCTCCTCACTGTGGGAGACCGTGCAAAACAGGATCCTGAGGTCTCCCCCCCTCCTCGCACGACCCGAGCGGCACAGGGGGAGCCAGGGAGCTGTCCCGGACTTGGGGACGTCGGGAAAGGAAACAGAATTCCGCTGTTTTTCCCGCTCCCTCGCCGCCCCTACGCCCAGCGCCTCCTCCCACTTTGCAGCGGCGGGGTCACTAGACCTGGTGCTTCTGGAAAGTTTCCCTGAAAGCCAGGGGCGGCAGGCAGGACCGGATTGGGGCTCAGCCTGTGCAGTCCGCGGGAAGCCGGATCTGGAGGGAATCAAATGGGCAGCTCCGTGTGCGGCTAGGAGCTAGGTCCCGGCCCTTTGGAGAGTGGAGCCTCCTGGCCGGCAGTACTTGCTCGACAAGCCGGGGAAGGGATGGATGGGGAAGCAGGACTCTGGAGGCAGGTGCGGCCACTGTGGACAGAGGCTGTGGCGAAGGTGTGTGAGGACCCAGGCCGGGGCTCGCTGGCTTGCAAGTAGCCAGGCATACCGAGCCATCTGCGCCCCGCGCGCGATTTCCCAGAGGCGATGTCCAGGGAGGGGCGAAGCAGAGCCAGGTGCGCTTGGAGCGCGGGAGGAAAGGGAGACTGGAGGCGCTGTCTTTACAGCCAGGGCAAGCACCTCCAGGGGCCGCCTCCGGCCTGAGTCGCCCTGGGGAGCCCTGCAGGCTGTTCCGCGTCTGTCTTTGGGAGAAAGGTGGCTGCTTTGGAACTGCAGTGGCCAGGCACAGCCACAGAGGGATCGCTCCTTTTTTTTTACGCTCAGTTTTTTTACGCTACTGAATGCGATCTGTGAAAGGTTTAAAACACAGGAGCGCACGGACACACACACACACTCCACACCCCCTCGCGCTTGTACGCACAACTTTCTTTACCTCAGATCTGAAAAGCCATTTAACTCACTTGCATTGTTGTGCCAGCAGGTCTCAGAAAAGCTATTTAATGCCCCCCAGCGCTGGTTTTTAAGTCTTTCCAGGATGAGAAGGTCGAGTGCCTTTGCCTTGTCTTTCTTTAATCCTGATAATTGTTCGTCGTCCTTCCCTTGGTAGACACACATCTTGGGCGTCAAGTCCGTGGTATGCTACAGTGATGGCAGGGAAGACTGGTGGTTTAATTAATTATTTAATTAGGTTTTCTCCCAAAAGTAAAGGTGCCTGTGTTTAATTCTGAATGAAAATATTCTTTTTTACACCATACCCAAATGGCTACCAGAGGTCAAGATTGGAAGAATTTTGTATGACTTTAATGCTGTGTTTAGTCTGCATGGAGCAGTTTTATGATTTACAGTAAGCTTTGATTAAACTACTCCAGGCACCAAAGTTAATTATTAACCTAACCTTAAATACAGTGGCAGAACTATGTCTCCACCTATTAACCTAAACTATCTATTAAAAAATAATTGCACTAGCTATTTGAATTTGGTTTACCCATGCTTGTTTGTATGGTAACTTCTATTTGAATCTTGAGTAACCCCTAGTTTCTGTTATTATTTTGGTTTTAGGACAGTCTTGAATAGGCACTTTGCAAACCAGTCTAAAGCAGAAAAGAACAAACAACATCAAATTTAAAACCTTTCTTTTGTATTATGAGCCTTTTTTTCACCTTGATGTAAAGAAGCATTCTATTTTATGTTCCTTATTTACAGTGTTTGTGGGTGACAGCCTTCCCTATGTGTTAGGTTTTGCAGCTATCACCTTTAGAGATATGCTGCATTCTCAATAATGCATATAATCCGCATATGTAAATGTTAAGTAGATACCAAAAAACATTTCTTAGGAGCCATCGGCTGAATATACTTACTGACTATAATACCTAAGCTTAAATAGGTTAAAATTTTATAAGAACCAGCATAGAACACTCAAGTAAATGTCGAATTAATGAAAGAAATAGTCACACATGGTGCATGTTTCTCCACTTAGAGTGGACTTTTTTATTTTCCCTACAGTAAAAAAAATATATGTGCCTTCAAGTGGGTGGTTATTACAAGGGAGCAGTAAGTGCAGCTTTTTATTTACACACAAATACACACCCCTCAAATTCTTCCAAAATCTAGTAAATGCTTTTTCCAACATCAAACACATATAGCAGTTGTATTTTGAGTAGGCAGTAACATTGCACTAATCGAATATGTTGAATCAGAAGGATCGCGAGAGTTGGGAAGACTGTTATCTTCACCAAATAAAAATAAGGCATCCAAATTAAGAACTTGGATTAAATTCAAAATAAGTACTCATGCTTTAAAAGTAAATGGGTAGTTGCACTCCTATATGAAATGGAAGGAAAAATACTATTTTGAACCAGGAGTTAAGTCAGATAGTTTATTCAGTGTACATTGTGGTTCAGCTCTTCAGAGCAGGACAAAGGAGTGATGATGGGATGAAAGTTTTTTTAGAACTAGATTGCCAAGAGCTAATATAGTCTCTCCATCTTATTTGTTTGCAGGAAGGAATCACAGAACAAGCTAAGCTAATTGCAAATGCTTTAATTAGGCATCTGCCGTTTGTGTAAGGCAATGCCTAGGAAACCCTATCTCTGCACTGCCCGTCTCCACACCCTTCTTTAGGTTTAGACAGTTTTCTATCCTCCTCCTAGAGTGGATGCTCCTTGACATATTTATATAGGAGCTTTGTATTATGGCAGCCACATTTGTGTATGCCAGGAGAAGATAAAGCCTTGAAGCATTGTGCTGGGCCCTCCAATATCAGGACCTCCCACTCTCTTGGGGTGGTTGGAGCTAACTTTTCCCTCAGTTATTTCTATTTCAGAGTGAAGGCTTTTCTCATCTGCTTTCAAATGTGCTGCAAGAGCAACTGAGCTATTCTCTGCTGGCAACCACATGGTCGCCTCTTGGGGATATGGTAAGGTAGAGAAAGGCAGGAGGCATTTAATCCCTTTGAAATGGGCAAATGAGATGTCATACCACACAAGCCTCAGGGGGAGGAGTTCAGGACAACTTCTCAGCATGGGACTATTGCATATAGTCTATACACAAGGGTATCTTAATTTGTGAAACAGACGAACTCTTGCAAAACTTTTTTATTACAATAATTCCATTTACACCCATAGAGGGTATCATATAAAACTTTTAATACACTGATGATTCCCAAATAACCTCTTCATTCCAGACCTCTCTCCTGGACCTCATATATAACCAATGCTTAGTGGGTAGTTAGCTTCTGCTGAACCTAATAGACATCCCAGACTTACATTTACACGACCTAATTTTGCATCTTTCTCCCCCAGATCTGCTTTTCTCATAATCTTCTTCATCATAGTAAATGGCACTTCCATTCTTTGAGTTGCTGGGGACCCCAAATTAGTTCTTCTTGAAGCTTCTCTCTCACACCTACATCCATTGTGGCTGCAATGCTGTTGGCTCCACCTTCGGAATGCCTGCAGGCTTCCTTCAGGTCTTCCTTCTCTGTGGCCCTCAAATTGGCCAAGCCATGGTCCTCTTCTGCTAGGTTTTCATGCCAGCCTCCCAACTAGCATTCCTGCATCTGCTCTTTGCCCCCTATAGTCTTTTCTCAACACAACAGTCAAAACAGCAGTGATTTTTTTTTTAAAAAAAACTAAGCCCGATCAGATCACTACTCTGCTCAGATGTTTTCCAATTTATTTCAATAAAAGCCAAAGTCCTTCCAACGGGCTTTGCAGCCCCACATGATCTGCATTCAGGCTCCCACTGCTCTGACCTCCACTTCTTGGTCTTCTTTGAATATACCAAGCATGGCATATACTTGGGATCCCTTGCAAGGGCATTGCACTTACTCATTCATGCCTTGGGATGGTTCTTTCCCCAGATAGCTACATGATTTGCTTCTCACATTCTTCGGGTCTCCGTTCAAATGTCAATTTCTCAGTGAAGA